AATCTCATTAGTATCAATCAATTGTGTGATCTAGGATTCAAGGTCAACTTCTCAAAATCTGAATGTCTAGTAATTAATGAAAAACTAGAAGTTGTAATGAAAGGAATCAGATCCAAAGATAACTGTTACTTGTGGCAGCCTGAGAACACTAATAACTCCACTATGTGTCCAATTACCAAAGAAGAAAAGGAGATGAAACTGTGGCACCATAAGCTTGGTCATCTTCATCTAAGAAGAATGAAAAGAGCTATCTCTATGGAAGCTGTCAGAAGGACTCCAAAACTACAGATTGATAAAAGAAGGGTTTGTGGTGAACTTAAAATTGAAAGGCTTGGTAAAAAGAAACATGTCTATGATGTGGTGAATAAACTTGAAGAAGGATGTGTTGTCAGAACCAGAAGTAATCATGACAAGGATGTTGGAAACAACAAGTCTAATAAATTCTGTTTCCCTGAAGAAATGAGTCGTGAAGTCTCTTCTCCTATAACTCACCATCAAAATGGAGTTGACAAAAAGAAAAATAAGATCATTCAAGAATCAACCAGAACTATGATTCATGTCAAAAGAATGCCTTCCCAACTCTGTGCTGAAATGGTTGCAGCTAGGAGTAATTGTTCTCAAAATATCTGGACAAAACAGATGCTCACTAAGTATAATGTCTCACAAGATGTTGTGACATTATATTGTGACAATCTGAATACAATCAATATTTCCATGAACCCTATTCAGCATAGCAGGACCAAGCACATTGACTTTGTAGAGAAGAAGTCAATTAAACTGGAACATGGTATCATTAAGCTTCAGCTGGCTGATTCTTCTACCAAGGCTCTTGTTGGAAATAAACTTGAAAACTTGAGGGGCAGGTTGGGTATTTGCCAACATGAGAAATTATAGCAATTAATTTTGCTTAAAACAAGGGTTGAAGGAGTTAATGTTGTTAAGTCTATTTTTAGTGGGTTAATCATATGTTTTCCCAATTCTTTCAAAATCTTTAAGAAGTTGAAAAGACTCTCTTTTGCCTCCTACCTCTCTCGACTTTGCAACCTGTTCCCTTCTCTCAATCAAAATTTTCTCTCAAATTGCTACTGGTGCTCTAAGTCAATCAAAATGTCTCAAACATCATCTTCAACCAAGGCGACTTCATCATCCTCATCATCTTCATCATCTGACCAAGACTCTAGAGCAATCACCACATGCATAGAATCTGAAGTTCTTGAGGTCACTCCTCTCAGAGAGATGGCAACTGACCCCACCAAAGTCAAAATGCTGAGAACTAGACATGCAGGAAGAGCTCAAGCTGCAGCCTCTGGAAGCCCAAATGTGGACGTCTCTGAGAATGTAGATGTCTCTGAGAATGTTGTGACACAAAATGACAACATTCAGAACCCTTCAGAAAAGACTGTTGATCCACCTATCATTGATGTGGATGAGGATTACTCAGATAATGATCTGATTGCCAATGTAAACCCTAGCATAGCTAGGAGATTAATGAAAAGAAAGGGTAATCAGAATGATGCAAAATGTGTGTCCAAAGATAAACCTGTTGTTAAGAAATCCAAGGCTGAAGGCATGGCTGGGGTAGAATCTGTGAAAACTATTCAGTCCAAAGGGAAGGTGAAAGCCCAGGTGCATACTGCTAGACAACCAATTTCAAAGAAGAGAAAAGAACCTGAATCTTCTGATTCTGATGAGGAATCAGAGTTTGAGATTGATGCTGAAGAAATTCCTATCAGAAGGAAGCTCCCCTCCAGCAAAATTGCTAGAGTTCCTGAAGTCCCAACAGACAACATCTCTTTTCATCATCCTGACAATGCAAACAGATGGAAGTATGTTTGCTTAAAGAGAATAGATTTAGAAAGAGAACTCAACAATGATGCCATGGAGTGCAAAGACATCATGGACCTGATCAAGAATGCTGGACTGATGAAGACAGTGATAAAATTTAACAAGTGTTATGAAAATCTGGTCAAGGAGTTCATAGTTAACTTGTCTAATGATTGTGCTGATGGAAGGTCAGCTGACTTTGAAAGTGTTTTTGTTAGAGGAAGAAGGGTTAATTTCTCTCCATCAGAAATTAACAAATTTCTTGTAAGAACAAATGAGGATTGTCCTGATCTGGAAGTCACTGACAATGAAGTTTGTCAAACCATCACAGCAAGGCAAGTGAAGTGCTGGCCCTTGAAAGGCAAGCTGAATGCCAGCAAACTTAGCATGACTGTGTTCTTTACTGTTTTTGTATTTACTGTCTTATAGAAAGTCAGATACGGTGTCATAACATTGAACGTGACATTGAGTATCTGCAGCCAGAATTTCACCATGCAATAGAATCACGATCTTTGATCGATGGTCTTGGTAAAGTTCTATTGATGAAGTCAAATTTGTTCTTGGATCTTAGAGCCATGGTTATGGACCTCAACCAAGAGTGATAGTTTCATGCATTCAATAATGGAGTAACTGACACTAGTGTAGGATTTTCGTTGGGAGACATGAAGTATGGATTGAGAGTTTTATTTTGATATCCCTTGTTGAGATTTGAAGCAGGAGCATGGCCACTATGATTGCTCGAAGGACTATCATTTGACATTGTTGTAGCGGAAAATGAAAAAGAAAGAGAGATATGAAGAACGATCGATAGAAGGAAATGAAAAACATACTAAGATTTGTAAAAGATATGCGATTATGCAGCGGTCGTGGTGATGATAAAGCCATGGGTCAATGATACCATGTGAAAGATAAACTAAAACACCATTAAAGAATATAGAACAACTAACATTACATTGATATAAAGGAGAATTACACAAATCTATCATTTAATGCTAAGCTATTCACTGCTTATAGTAGTTGTAACCAGTTAGATCTAGTAACTAACTTCTAACAATCTACTAACCACCTAACAGAAAGTAGTTACAACATAGCTCCACTTGATAATTTCATCCATAATGAAGTTGACTTGTCAGGCAAGTAACTTCATTAATCTCTCATATCTTCTTATGTTCAACCGGTCTTATATTTATGAAAGGAGGTAATATATTACAAAGTTGTATATAGTGCAAGAAGGTTCTTAATATGCTAGAAATTTTGGCATTAATTTGACATGGTCAAATGTTGATTCTTTAGTAGTAGTGAAGATTCTATTTGTTATGATGATTGATATGATAACGTCAAAGCAGGTGTGCAAAAAATTTCGTTTGTTGACTCTGACATGAGAGGTAAAAGCTCAGCATTTTTATAGGATGCCAACGTTTGTGATGATGCATTAACTTATATTTAGTGTAGTATGAATTTTAATTTGATGCTATTTGAATCGTGTTTGATTCAAATTAGTTATTTGTTGTTGTTGATTAAATTATAATCTCTCTTTCTAAGTTGGTTAAGTTGTAAAAAATCGCTTAACCGATTTAACTTCTTTGCAATGACAAAAAAAAACATCTCATTGTTTTGTATAATGACAATGTTCATGTAATTCATCATAAATAATAATTATTTATGAATTATCATGAACACTATCATTAAACAAAATAAGAAGACAGATATAAACGTAGCGAAGAGAACGCCATAAAAAAAATGATATTTATTATATTTCAAAAATATAATTGGACCTCCTAATGTTGTCTCTTTTTATAAAAATTCTTTAAATTTCTATCTAGTTAAAAATTGGACCTAATCATCGATCGAATTAGTTGAATCGAAAATTAGAGGAGTCATCAATCTAATTTGATTGTTAAATCGGATAAACTATTGAATCAATAGAAATCGATGAAAATCAATCAGCCAATAAAAATCGACGAACTAACAATTTTTGAAAAACCAACATATTAAATATTTATTTTTGACATAATAATGTCTTTTTGATAATTATTTAAAAATAAAATATAAATATAAATAAATTTTATTCAAAATTTATTTAAAACAACTTTAATTTATTATAATTTATTAGACATTGATCTTTTATTTTTATCCAAATTTATTTGAATATTTAAATGTTGTATGTGTTGTTATTTGTTTTAGAGAGAAACATCCGATTTGATTGATTTAAAAATTATATAATTTTATTATATAAATCAATTTTAATTAATTAAATTATTCGATTTAATTTAATTTAATCATACAATTCAATCAATAAATTAATCAATAATTTAATATCTTCACCAATTTAATGAGCGGGGTGATTTTTCAAACATGGATCTAGATTAATTTTGCCTTTCTCCAACTTTATTTCTTTTTTTTTTAATTTAATCAATGGAGTATTATGTTCAAGAACGTATGTAGTACTATTATTGTTCGTATTTTAATAGTTTATGTCTAGTCAAAGCTACAAATAGTTACTTCTTAAAAAATTTATAGATTTTTTATACTTTCTAATTAAAATAGTATTAAATTTGGATTTTAAATAGTCAATATAATAAATAAATAAATAAATAAATAAATAAATAGGGATGTGAAGCACAATTAGGGGTGCAAAGTGCATTTCTATCAAAATCAAAATAATAAATAAAATCCATGACCAGACACTTGAGAAGTAGCAAATGGTAGAGGATGTACAAAATTCAAACTCCTCTAGGATGCAAAACCGAGTTTCCACTGTTTTCACAAAAAACATAAATACACGAGTCTATATAGAAGTGTCACTTGCATTTAATCATAGACAACCAGGAGATAATATTTGCACAAACACACGGATTCGGATTCATAATGCTGAATTCCACCCATCAAAATTTTGAGGAGCTTGCACATTTGATACTGTTTTCTCTTTATCTGTCTGTATACTGAATCAATGTATACTCTATTCTGTATTTCCATTAACATGATTCCAAGGTTGACAATACTGCGCCATATGCAACAGTAACTATATCTGCAAGTCCTGCACCATCAATAGTTTACAGCAAAAGCGTCAGAATAATATATGTTCCGAAGTGAATACCGTAAATTATAAAACCATTACAATTACTACATGATAGCTGATCAAATTACACAAAAAATATAAAAACAAATAATACCCATCTAGATTATTTAGACTATGTTTGAATTGATGGAATGAAATGAGATGAAATGGTATAAGCTTACATTCCATTGTTTGGATTAATTAAAAAATAATGGAACTGAGTGGAACCAGATGAAATACATTTCATCCCATTCCATCACTTTTCATCATTTTTTATACCATCTGATTTGAGCGGAATCACAAAATTGCTCTATTCCGCCAAGAAATATCCAAACAATAAAATGACATCTTTATTTCATTTCACTCCATTCGTTTTACAAATCCAAAGATAGTCTGGTTGAATTTACTCATTTGGATTTATTTACTAACATAAACATGTGCCCTATTTGAAAGACTTATGAAAACTTTTACATAAATTGTTTGGTTTATTTCCATAAAACCTTCTGAATTATTTATAAAAACGGCTTATAACTTATATGAAAACAACATTACTATTATATAAGTTGTTATAGAAATAGCTTATACAAAAACGGTTATGTTACAAGAGTTTTTTTATCCAAACACAAGGTCAGGCCATACTATCATGCCACTACAATTTAAGCAAAGACATTTGTTTAGCAGGAAGCAATGTCTTAAATATTTACATTGGAAATCTTTTTTCTCTTCTTTTAAATTTTCTAGGAAGGGATGAGGGGGAAGGAACCAATATGACAGAAACAACAAAACAATAAGGAATGCACACACTTAGAATAATTTTATAAACGGTTACAATGTAATATGGTTTTGAAAAGCTTACAAGATAACAAATGTGGGAGAGTTGATAAAACTCCTTGATAGAACCTATAATGAGAGTGGAATGGGTTTAATTTTGCATTCACTAGTGCAGATCACCGGGAGAATTGCCCCGTTCGAGACTTCAAAGATGTGGAATTTCCCCCCCGCGGGGGACAGGGAACAAAGACAGGGAACATATCCCCCACACACAGAGTCACCGTCCCACCTTAATTACCATAAAATCTTTAAAAATATAAAATTTTAAATTTAATTGTTGTTTTTTGTCTTTTCATATAATTTCTTTTATTTAAAAAATTAAAAGATATAAGTAATGTTAGTAAAAGAGAGATCTAAATAATTATTTTGAATTTTGAAAATTTTGGTGGTGAAGACTCTCAAGAAGATAGATTAAGTATGAGCATGAATGAATTAAGTATTGTCAAAACAATAGATTTATCGCAGAAAACTATTTCCTACATTTCTTTGATTAGTTTTAGAATTTTATTACTATTAATTTGATTAAAAATAATAGGTTTATTTTATGTTTTATTATGTTCATGGATCTCGGTGGTAACTGTGGGGATCCGCGGGAATGGGGACAAAATCACCCGTGGTGGGGATCCAGGACAGGGATGGGGAATGGATTTTGAGACTAGGACAGGATGTGTCCCCCGCCCCCGCCGTATTGACATCCCTAAACAGGCTTAGTGGAGGAGGAAACACAATAGATCCAAGATAATGGAGAGCGTATGAAAGAAGATCTAGAAAGAATACTGAGGTGGCAGTGACAGAGAGTGGGGGTTAATGGGTGAGTGCAGTTTCCTTTACATGGGAATCTGTTGTGGGGAGTGGGCGGGTTGGAGTATCTTTCTGTTTTGGCTAGAAAAAAGTACAATAATTTTTTGTGTGGTGCATTACTCCTTGGTGTAGACGGATCAATTTTTCCTTTTTCTAATCATCGAATTATTCATCACTATTTTCACACTGACTCTTGTTTCCTATCCATTATTATTATTTTCTATTTTATGCAATAAGTGATTGTTATTTGCAACTAGGGGTGGGAATAGGCCAAACCATGTCAGGTCTTAGAAGGCATGAGCCTGAACCTGATCTACGATAAACTTTTAAGCCTCGTTAGCCTGAAAACCTATTTAAAAGTCAGTTTCACATTTTAAGGCTTTTAAATATATTTTTTTACCTAGACAACACAACCTTTTATATACTATTTAGCTTATAAAATTCCTATTCCCATCCTTATTTGCAACACACGTGCGTGATAGTTTTAAGACAGAAAATGAATAGCCTTGCATGGTATGCAACATAGGCTTGGATCCAATTTGTGCCAGTTATCAGTTATCACTTATTCATTAGTGCAACTAATAGATAATGCTCCATACAATTTAGTGATTTAGTATAACAATCAAGGTATAGTTATGAAGTTCTAAAATTGGAATCCATTCACATTGAGTAAAATTGCTAAACTAATTTACAGTAAGAGTAAGTAGAAATGGCACTCACCTCATTTGGGGATTATTTACGCCGTGCTAGTGTCCATAGGATAACTCCCCAGCACCCGCAAGAATGTAGCAAACTCCTGCAAATTGTACTAGTTTTAGAGCAATACTCACATAATCCTTTAAATATGCTTCATAAGATTAAAATAAGTCGCACCATTAGATGCCTTAAGGCATTTTGTGCATTCTGATCAGCCATTGATGCTTCAAAGTCAATATAGAAAATATAATCAAAGTACCTGTTTAATATATTAACTGTGATCAGCATAACAATCATTAACAATCTAACATCTTTGTAAACACAATTACTAATGATAATTTGAACCAATTAAATGATGAATGAATTAAAACTCAGAAAATATATTATTGCTATGGTCCTCCTTACTAATACTTGGGATACCTATTGTTGTTATCATCAGATGTTCTAAGAGGTTGCTTCCGCAAAGGACGGCTTTCAATCTATAAGAAGAATTAATCAATTGTACAATCAGAAACACATAAAAAAACATAATTGCAAATGTAATTTCCATAAGATATATGAGCTCACGCCAAGAAGACAGCTAACCTTTGAAAGATTAATTTGACGCAGCGCAAAAACAGCAAGGGCCTTGAAAAGCATCCCAGGCCCCTCTTCTAAAGAGAAAACTATGCTTGTCTGAAAATCCAATGCCACAGTCAAACAGAGCTATCAATACTGATGTCAGTAAGCATGAAAGTAAACTAGATAGGAGACATATGATATATTCAATCAAGTAACTTCAGCTATTTATGCTAGTTGAGGCACCTTAAATGGCTTGTCATTGCCTGGAAGTATAGGCTCTCGCGCCAACACTAAAAACCGAGTGATATTATCACTATCGTCCTGCCAATGCAAATCCATCAGTCCTCAAATCTAAGATAAACATGAATTGTCTGCCATGTCATTTAAAACAGAGTGACACTAAGACCCAAACCTGGATGTCTTGAGCAAGTATATTTAAGCCATAGATCTTGGCGGCAGCTGAGCTAGCAACAGCTCCTGCATCTTGTAGTTTATGGAAAGCAACATGCTATAATTTATAACTATGTTAGGATAACTAATATTGATAATCATGTCAACAACAGCCGCAGAAAATGATATTCTATCCATCCTTCACCCCATGGTGCAATATACAATCATTAATTGATATTTAGTGGATGACTTTTTCATTACTTGATTCCTTAACCAGTGCCCTAAGGACACTTGTTAACCAGAGCTTTTTAAAATCAAACACAATTCAAAACAAATTGTGAGCTATCTAATGCTTTATTTTTAAACAAGTCAAATGTACATAAACGTGACTATTAATAAACAGAAACACTTGAAATGATACAAGAAAAATAGCTTCCAACAATTCCACAATTACCTTTGCAGCACCGGCTGTATCATCAACTGCTTCTCTGACTAAGCCCAATTTTGTCAAGGTGTTCTCACATTGTGCAAGAGCCTAAGACAACACCATCTTGGATGAGTTTATTGTAGGAAGAGAAAAAGAAGAAAAAAAAGGTATAAAATGTCAGAATCATACCTGAGGATGACTAAGAACGCGCTTCAAATTCTCAAGTCTAATACCATGGTTGGCCATCAAACAGTGATGGACTGCATATTTTACTTCTCCTACAATATGTAGCCTGTGCCTGAGTAAAAGATCATAATTCCTATGGATGCTCCCTCCTAAAGAATTCTCAATTGGCAAAACTGCTCTGTCCACAAGCCACCTTTCAACAGACTATCATAGGAATCCATGATCAATAAAAATAAAAACTACAGACAGTTAGAACTAGCACTCTCGGCAACCATATATTTTAAAAGGTAACCACCATAAGAAATCAATAATAAAAACAAATAACTGGAATATGTGATTTTGAGTTTTAAATTGGTTAGAGCTTGTAATGCAAAACTTACAGAGTTATATTTGTCAATATATGAGCATATACAACATTATTGATTAAATTAATCAAGGTTACCAAAGGTTATGTCATAGACCCATAAATTCAAAGAACACAATAGTATATTTTTGTAGAAAATCTTGAGCACAAAGGCTCTACAATGGGGGAATAACAGAAAGAAAGAGATAAACCAGAGTTCAATAACTCCTTAACAGAGCACTATGCCCCTAACCAGAGAGAAAATCTCCTAAACAATCATGATCTTTACCTCTCTTCTCTCCCTCTTGTAACTGTTTTCCTCCCTCCAACACAATCCTGCCAAGGCACTACTCTCCCCATTCAACACATCAATTGGTATAATAAAGCCCAAATCCAGTATCATATCATTATGCTACTTATATTCACTAAATTTGAGCATCCTTAAAGAAAACCAATACAGCGAGATGCAATTCAAACAATTACAATCGCCTACTAAAGTACAATAACAAAGGAACTTAATAAAGACACTAAAAAAACATGTTATGACTAGAATGAGTTTAATTTTGATATCGTATCAGTTACTCAGTCAGTGTTTTTATACTATCACCCTATGAAGCACGGAGTTCTGACACGGACACTCACACACCCCTACATATATGATACTCCCTCCATTTCAAAATGACTGTCATTTTAGCAAATAAACAGTTTCAAAATAACTGTCAATTGCAATTTTCAATATAGTAATGATTACTATTTTTTCAATTGTGTAATTTACTTTTTACTCTCTACACTACTTCCAATACATTAATAGGGTAAAATGAGAGCGAAGTTGCATATGAATAAAATCCTACTAAGGGTAATAAAAAATTTACTTCAAAAGCGGTGTCAAATTGCTCACAGGGCACAGCTTCACAATTAGGGTAAGCTTTTTGAGCAGCAGATTCACTATAAGCACCTTGAACCCCCTGAAAAATGAAAAATCATATGAAATAATTTCAATCATCAAAAATAGCTTCTAGAATAACTCTTAGCGTGCAATGGTAGAAGCAAATACCTGATACGCAACACGAAGCCCCGAACCATCGGAAACAGCAATAGATAACTGATTCGAAGACAAAGGTCCTGAAAATTAAATGCGAAAAACATTAGAGGCGGAAAAGTGTGATGAGAAAAAGGGGAAAAAGTAGGGGAAAAGAATACGAGGAAGAGAGGGCGGATCTTTGGAAACGACGTCGTTTGAGACGGCGCTAGTTTGCAATTCAACGGCGTCGTTTGAGACGTCGCTAACCCTGTGGCCGCGGAGGGAAGCGCGAATGCGGAGGTTACGGTGTCGTTTAGGGAGAAGGCTGAGATTGAGGGAGGGGAGAGGTTTGGTTGAGTCAAAGAGGGGAGAGTGACGGTGGAGATTGGGTTGAGAGTGGGAGATGATTCGGGAAGATGCCATGAATAATGGCGTGGTAGGTACGGGGACTCTGTCACTGCTGTTTGGTTCAAGTTTGAAGTTATGATATATGGATCCTGGTGTAAATGCGTGTCATGCGCTTCACTTTTTCCCAACAGGATAAACATAAATATACAAACATTTTATCTTTAATTCTTTTTTAACATTTCGGTCACGTGCATTCTAGATCTATTGAATCTCTCTTCAGTTTTGAGGTTCAAGGGTTTTTAGGAGTTCAATTTTTGCATTAATGTTTTTTCTTTTTGTCACTCTTTGAATAAGAGAAAATTGCGGACCAAGCTTATAAGGTTGAAATCATCCCATCCTGATGAGAATGGTGCATTGAAGGCGACTTTAATGCTATCAAGTATATGAGTAAAAGGAAAGGTGCAAGATCTAGTATTAATTATTTTAATATTGCGGATTTTTCGGTCTTTATTGGAAATATGGATCTAGTAGATTTATGGGGGTTACGAAATAAATTTTCCTGATTCAATTTGGCAGGTGATTAGAGCAGATTGGATCACTTTCTAATTTCTAGAGGGCTAATTGACATGTGGTGTTTGAAAGGGCAATTCATTGGTGATAGGAGTTTTTTTATCATTGTCCAATATCTATTAAAGTCAATAGATTGAATTGGAGTCCTTAGCCCTTTAGATTTTTTTCAGTTGGGATTGATTATCCGGGTTTTTTAACCTTTGGTGGAGGAGGTTTGGAGTGGTGTTGTCATTCAAAGGCGGAATTTATTTGTGTTTAAATAGAAACTAAAACTTCTTAAAAATAGGCTCAAAGTTTGGAATCATGAGGTTTTTGGGAAGATTAACCTTCAAGGACGATGTTGTGAGAGATCTTAATGTGCTAGATAGATAGACGGCGTAAGAAGATAGTGGAGTCAACTTAGAAAAAAGTGTGATACTCAAAATCTTGTTTGGGAAAAAATGCATATTAGAGAATTCATTCTTTGCCAAAAATCGAAGTGCAACTAGCTAAAGGAGGGCAATCAAAATTTGAGATTTTTTCACTCTTTTATGAAGAGCAGATTTCGACGTAACCGTATCGTTAGCATTAAAGTAGGTGGTGTTTTGGTTGAAGATGTGAAAGGTGTCAAGCAGCATGCTTTTAATTATTTTCATGAGAGGCTTCAGGAACTCATGTTCCCTTCAATCAATTATTTTATGAAGACAACATCAACCTTGAGCTCCCCTTCTCAATGCAAGATATTAAGGATATAATTTGGAATGGAACCAGTGGAAAGAGTTCGGGTCCAAACGGTTTCTCATTGGAATTTTTCAAAGCCACGTGGAGCATTATTAAGTATGATTTGTTTGACTATATTTCTTAATTTTTTTACAGGTTTACTTACCGAAAGCAATGGCTTCCTCTTCCATCTCTTTAATCCCGAAAATTCAAAATTCTCAAGGCTTTAATGATTATCGTCCCATCTCTCTAATTGGTAGTTTATATCGGATTATCTCAAAGCTCTTAGCGGACAAATTATAAGGGGTTATGGATAAACTTGTGTCAAAGATTCAGTCGGTTTTTGTGCCCAACAAAGAAATGTTTGACAGCGTCTTGGTTCTTAACGAATTGGTGGATTTGGCGGTTCGAGGCAGGAAAGGTCTTTTTTTTTTAAATTTGATTTTGAAAAAGCTTCCGACTCTGCTTCTTGGGATTATCTGTTCTATGTCAAGAAAATAATGAATTTTGGTAACAAGTGAATAAGTTAGATTAAAGGGTGTGTTTGCTCTTCGTTCTTTTTGGTTTTGATTAATGGCAGCCCCATTTTTTACTTTCAAGCTAAGATAGAGCTTTGTCAAGGGGACCATTTCTCTCTATTTCTTTTCATTTTGGTCGCAGAAGGATTAGCGGGATTAATGGAACATGATGACGAGAAATCGTATCGTATAATTGCTACGTTTTTAGTCCATTTTCATACTGCATTAATCCATTTAACTCCCGATTGTTCCGAGTTTTTATGTCTTTTCACAGGTACAACATGTCTCAAGTCAATTTAGTGGAAAAAGATCATATGAAGAAAGTTAACATGAAAACCAGAAGAAAAGGAACAATTCTGCAAAGTTCTGCCGTTTTTGATGTTGTGACGGTCATCACACATCACTTACGAACGTAACGCGCTGCTAAGCGTCTTACGCCTGTCACCTTGGTGTTACGACCGTAACACGCTTATTACATGAAGAATGCCCGTAACACACTTGTGGCGACCGTTACACGCTTAATCCAACTTTATGAAGAACGTGAGGTGAAGACGTGGAGACGTGGGCAACGAAAAGAAAGGAGTCTTCAGATACTCCTACAATCTCTCAACCTCACCAACGCCCAATCTTCCTGGTTTTTCTCCACAACTGAAGTGCAAAGCCCACATTCTTGTTTTTTTTAACTGTCAATTTATCCTCTATAAATACGAGAGATTTCGATGAAGAACAAACAGAGTTTTATTTTCACAAATTTCTTGCAGAAGCTCTGCCGAATTTACGAACCATTTCTCAGTTTTCATTTTTCCTACTGTTCTTGTTTTTATTTCCCTTCTACCATTTAATAGCCATTTCCAACATTAGGAAATTGCTATCTTAGTTAGAATTTGTTTTTAGCCTCAGACTTCGTTTCGAGTTTCGATTCCGAAGGTTCCAATCTTGCCGACTTGTGGAAGAGGGAGCTTGAGGAATAGTATTATTATTCAGGTTTTAATCGCATTTAATTTAATTTTAAGTACAATTTGTTTACGTTCAATTACTGTTATTTATTTATCATGAATGTTTCACTGCTTTCCAATTATATTTCCTGTCTGTTTGTTTCAAGTACCATGGCTAGCTAAATTTCTAGAGTCGGGATGTGATAATAGTAACTGGATGGATTAAATTGTTCCTAAGCTAAAATCCAAATTAACTTAATTTCTGGTTGTGACTTTTTATAATTAAAATCAATCTTTTTGTTACGAGAGTAAGAAAAGTAGAATAGGTTAGGATCAAGACCACGAGAGTGTGAGGTTTTAACCGGATAGCTAAAGTTAGGCATTTGATTTAAATACAGCGAGAACGCTTTAAAACGAATTAGACTTTATTAAGTTTTCAAAGAGTATTTTCTAAACACTTATGGGCTAGCGAGAGCAGGCATAGGGCTTTAGGGGTATAATCCGAGATAAGACCACGAGAGTGTGAGTTGAGGGTTTTTAAACTGATAATTTCTACAGAACCATTTAAGTTAAACATCTTGATATGCTTAGGTTCGATTAAATCCGCTTAGGTTCACTATATTACATACCGGCCGCTTTATTATTATTATTTCCTTAGTTCGATTTAGTTTTCCTCTACTTTAACTTCTAAAAACCAAACGTGACAACATCCGCCTTAACTAAACTAGCAAACCTTTATAGCACTAGAGTGATTACAAAGTCCATGTGGGTTCGACATCTTTTTATTACTACTGCGATAGGTTGTGCACTTGCAGTTAAGATACTGTTAGACACATTAGGTCGATCGCACATCACTTGTTCGTTGAATTTCTTTCAACCATTCAATTTATCACATCAAATTCAATGTGACTTACTTCAAGTCGTGAATGATACTATAATCGTAGCAAAACCTGATTAAGAAAACATCACGAACATCAAAGCTCTGTTACATGGTTTTGAGATTTCCTCTGGTTTGTCTGTTAACTTTCACAAAAGCAGGATTTTCATAGTTAACGTCAAGTAGGATTTTATGGAGGCAGCTTTAGATTATTTAACATGTTCGATATCTCAGCCTCCCTTTTCTTTTCTTGGCATTCTGATTGGTTGTAATCCTAGGATGAGGTCCACGTGGGAACCCGTTCTCTTAAAATAACGAAACAAATTGACTCTTTAGATAGGGAAATTCATTTTGTTGAAGCTCGCTTTAGATTGCATATGGAGAGCAAATGTCGCATCTAACATTCAAATATTCGGGTGGCGTATCATTCTCTATCAACTTCAAACCAAAGATGAATTAGAGAAAAAAGGTGTTGTTCAGAACATCACTCCCTTGTATGTCTGTTATGTTTCAATATTGTTGATTTTCATTTTCATATTTTTTTGGGTTGCCCGGTTGCTTTGCCGATTTAGAATTCTGATTTTAATTGGATTAACTTGCCCTTCATTTCATATGTTGATGGTGATTTAGCAGATTATTATTGCTTTTTAATTAGGCCTTACGAGCTAAAACCAAGAAGAAGTTTAGAATCCTTATTTGATTAGATGTTGTTAGGGTCATTTGGTTTGTTAGAAATGACACTTTGTTCAATGGAAGTGTTAAGGGATCTCGTGATATTCTTTTAGTTGTAAAGTCGTTGTCTTGGGACTGGTTTGAGACTAGATTTAAAGACATCATTTCTTTCTCTAGAGATGATTGGATGAGAAATCATTTGTGTTGTATGAAATAGTTCTCTTTTCTTGTATTTGGATTGAATATCCCTTATATTCTTATTTAATACATAGTTGTTTATCAAAAAAAAATTGAAAAAAAAAATATTTGTTGATATTTTGTGTTTTCTAAAAATAGAACTAAATTAAACAGTTTAATTCGATTTGAAACACTTCTTTTTCAAACAATGCATAAATAGTAATAAAGTTTATACAATTACATAATAAATTGTATGGTGTGTTGGTATTTGAGTTTTAATTGTTTACTGTATTTTAGTCAAAGAATGACATTTAAAAAAAAAAAGGGATGAATCCGTTTATCGTACAAAATTCATTTGCTGACACTTTTACTTGTAAACGCACTTTAATTTACTTTACATATAAAGTTAACTTAGTAAAAACAATAACATTTGTATGCATACTAAATAAAGAATCTGTGAAATTAACTGCATATAACATTATTGTTTATTAGATTGAATACTTAGTGGCCTTTAAGGTGGGAAAGCATAATACTTTACCACCATAAGGCAAAGCCATTTTTACTCCGCATGTAAGTAATAGTTGGCTAGAAATTTTTATTTTTTTAATTAGAAAATCAACCAAAATT